GTTTTAAATGTAATGCTTATTTGTAATGTATCCTCCAGCATTCTTTTTCTACATATATATACACGTATACTCTTACATACATGTTTCCTACTTTTCCTAGTGTATATAACAATTAGGAGGATTAAGATGTATGTATAAACATATTCTATATACAGAGAGAAATAAAGGTTGAATGTAAGCAGGCTTTAAATGGGAGAAATTGAAGTCCATTACATTTACACACAAATATATAAGGAAAAAGTGTACTATGGAATACAACATACTCTATTTCTTAAGTCTCGCATCGGTTTAGAAAACTCAAAAGAACACAGTTAAATGAACAGGAATTGAAGGCGCATGATGGATGCATCCCTCATAGCATTTAAATCTCTTCCACTTGATTAAAAATTCCTAGTTCCTCTTCACTGAATTGTTTAGAGTTTTTGAGAAGCCTCTGCCCTGATTAAAACAAATTAGCATCAAAGATCCCCTGTTGAATGAGAAATCATTAATTGAGAAACATGCAATGCTCCTTAATTACCTTTAGAACAGTGAGAGAACAAATAATCTCAGGTTCCAGAGGGCCCTGCCTGCTCTGCACCGTGGACTCATTTTGTGTAGCTGCTGGAATAAAACTCCAGCAGCAAACACTATTGGGGAATATCAATGCAAGCTTTAGTAAACACACTGTAGATTGTTTATCTAAAAGAAAAATATCTATCTAGGTAATGACTAACCGGAAGACAGGAAAACGTTTCAGTCTGTTATTTCGACGAGAGCTTTAGAAGTGTTTTACATATGCCAGTATTGATTGAGAAAGAATGTGAGCTGCTCTTTCTGATACAAATTTTAATGCTTTGTGTAAAACACTTCATTTATGCAATTACCTGATAAGATTTCAGATTCTTAGGTACAGATGTGTAAACTTTATCATTTAACAGTGGAACGGAAAGCTCCAAAGTGTTAAACTGTACAAAATCCAGCTACAGATGGAAAATCAAATTATGATAGGGCACCATATTTCTTCCTTCCTTTATATACCAATACAATGATTATGATAGCTTAGGTAGGTCAGTGATAAATGATGCATCCCTCCACCTTTAAAATCTGGTAAACCTTTCAGAAGACCCCATGGGAACGTCAATAGAAAATCAAATTGTTACAGATATTATGACAAGGTAAAGAAGGTTGCTGAATGCTTGTACACACAGTGCCATATGGAGAGGCCTCTGACAAGAGGGGCATGGCACTGGGTGTGAGGCTCTGAAGATTCTAGAAGCACATTCCTCCCAAGCACCCTGGCAGATAGCAATGTTATCATTTTTCTACATGGGGTAAATAAAGCATAGTAAAATATAATTATTCAGCTGAGGGTAGAATTTTGGTTTTATTCTAGTTTTCCCAGGCCTCTGTTTTAACCACTAGATCATGCTTCCTCAGCAGTCTTTGAAAAAATTGACAGAATTGATTTAACTATCTCTATTTTTTGGATATTTTGGTTCACCATACAGTTTACAGACTGATTCAGATAAAATAAAGCACAAAACTTCCCAAACAATGTTGCCATAGAAGATCTATATTAATGTGATTAAGACCCAATTTGGGGAATTTGCATTTAATTTTTAGTGGCATGAAGTGACATATTTTACAAGTTGAGTTACACTTTTTACCAACAGTCTTAGTAGATTTCAAACTTTGTAGAGATTATTAATCACTATTCTTTGTCTTGCATCCCACCAAGACAATAAACTTGATGTTGCTACAATCTTTGCTAATATCTCAAATAGTCCCTTAGTGCCTACATTATAAGGGCAATTATCAAGACTCCATCAAGAATATGTACACAAAGTAATTTGCACCAAAAAAGAGAATGTTATTAACTGTCTTAATGCAGTAAAGAGGACTATAAACATGGTCGTAATATTTTGAAACAGTAGGGAAATTGTTTTTTCTCAAAGGGTTCCCAGGAAGGTATATGCTTTTTGGGATATCCACAATAATGATCAATCCAGTAATGTGCAAAATGAAAATGGTTCAGATATATTATCACTTATAAGAATTACTAAAAAAAAGGCCATCACATAACTGTCTTCTAGACATTGCACATAAAAAGAAAAATCATTTAATTTAAACATTGCACATTATGTGTGAAAACACAACCAAGGCATCCTTCTACGTCGTTACAAATTTCTGGTTTGTAAAGCTCATCACAGACACAGCCTCCTGAGAAACTATTCTGTAGTCCTCCCTTCTAGAAAGGCTGCTTCAGTTAACAGCCTGCACTGCTAGAGTTTTGGTTTGGTTTTGTTTTTGGCTTTGGAAGGTCAAATTGGAGCTGTCACTTCAGAAATCAACAATGAGTGAACACTGGATTCTCAGAGTTTTTTCCCTCTTCTGATTAGTTCGTCTGCCCCTAAATGTTTGGGGAGATCATATTATTTTATCCTTACATGGAAACAAGTTTCAAAGGAACTTGGAGATCTGACTCTCAGAAGGGAATAGTCTTGATAAGTAGCATATCCTGTTTGCCATTATCTATTTGTGTTGCAAGGTAATTCATTTCAGGTTGAAATCAAATTGCTTTAAGCTGAGCTGGTGTTTTTATTGCTGTCCTTCCAGTCGGCCTTCCCTTTTAAGTGCCATCGTATTTCAAACAAGCTGATCTAAAGGAAAAGGTTACTGCTGCCAACGTGCATTGTAACAAGGGAATGAAGATGTGCAAGACCTATTTGATGTTATTTATTTATATTTGAAACATTGGTAGAGGTATGAGAGAACTAGTCTGCCACCGGGGGAATGAGCTGACTAGTTGGTGAAGGGTTAGGAGAGGTGTGTGAAGATGAGAAAGAACATCGAGCACAATTTGTTAGTATTTACTATAAAACTGTCATTTAAAGTTGAGGAAGGTAATATTTAAAATATGTAACAGACATTGTAAAAATCTTGAAAAACACAACTCTAAATCACCAGGCAACACATACCATTGGTTCCAATTGCAATTGAATTATTTGGGAACTTTGGCACATATATGCACTTTAGTGGTACTGCCACAAAAAAAAAAAAAAAAAAACGGGAAAAAAATCAACGCTCATGATTCACTGAATTTAAGTGTGTGGACCTTTTCATAGTAAAAGGAGAGAACATTTAACCATGATCTACTTATCATTTCAACAACAACAAAAACCCATCGCAAAGCCTACATGAGGTAGTGAGCATTTTTATCTTAGAAATTTAGATAACTGGCCCATGGGATTAAAAAAAAAAAAAAACAACTCGGCATTTGAGTTAAAATTCGAGTATTTCTTCACACAGGACCTGTTCTAAGAAAACTTATATGTCACTGGAAAGAACAAAATTTAAAATATCTTTGGGCAATAGAGGCTATAGAAACACAAAGAATTATAAAAGAATGTGCTCGCTAATGCTATTTTCCTAGGCAGATTTTCTAGAGTGAGATTTTCTGACTGTGCACACAGCCAGGTTAAAGAAACTTATGTTTAAACAACCATCTTCCCTGAGCGAAAATATCACTTAGGCCAGATACCACTTCTGCCAAAAATAACCAGAAAGTACCACTTCTGCCAAAAATAACATAGGTTAAAGCTTTTGAGGGTGAGAAGAATACAGTGTTCCTGTGAACGGTCTTTCAAGGGTTTGGTTTCTTGTTCAACTAAAACTACTCTGCACCTAATCCCTGAAGAGTGAGAAGGTTGGAATGGGAGTGAGGGTGGGGTGGGGGTGTAGTTTACAGAAGCTCATTTAAAATTATACTGTTGTTTCATATTTGGAAAACAAAAAAATACTAGCTGTTTTCATAGTAGGGCTGGAGAAAGTAAAGCTTGATACTATCTTGGCTGCCATGGCCATGCCAGGTACCCTGATTCTAAACAATTGAGGAAGCATGTAAGAATCCGGAGAGGGAATTGTGTGTTTACCAAAAGGGTTATAGGTTGGAGCTGAAAGAACGCCTATCACACACACCCGCCACTCACAGGTGATTTCTCTGAGCAAATCCTTTAAGGCCAGAGAAAAGTCAGTTTTAAGCTCAACTCTCCGAATCTCGTTATAACCACTGAGCCACCATCATAAAGCTGAAAAGGAGAGTGAGGCTTACGTGTTCACAGAGCAGCTGCTGCTCTCTGTTGCCAGAGTCCACCCATCACCCTACCTACTTTGGGCGCATCTTCATCCAGGACCCTCCAAAAGCTGCTTTCTTCTCGGATGTTCCTGGGAGACGGCAGCCAGGCTGGGCGTGTTTCTCAAGGTTCGGTGGTCCTCTTCTTCCCAGCCCCTTCCTGGCCTGGCCTCTTGGAGGTGGGATGGGGAGGAGACCACCATTCCATGTCCTGGAGCACAGGCGGAGCCAGCTTCAGGGTTAGGGCTCAGGTCAGGTTCTTGGCAGAGCCTATTTGAGGCCCTGAGCCCAGGAAGTATCCCACGTGCTGGGCCCAGGTGCTGTGGGGGAAGGGGGCTGGAGAGAAGAGAGAAGTTTAGATCCTCCTTGGTTTTCTCCTTCTCGGTGAGACCTGACGGAGGCCTGGCAGAGCCATGCCACTGAGAGAAGGCTGGGCCCCAACTGGCCACATGGGGACCAAGCCCAGAGCTTGCCAGAGAACGTGCAGGCTTTCCCCAGAAGACTCAGCTATGCCAGAGCTGCCCTTGTCTCAGATAGCTGACTTTTACTCTAAGTAAGAGCAATTTCAATAACACATGTCCTGTGGCGTAGACCCTCGTTATAGCTAGAATCTCAGCTGCTAGGCCTTGTGAGTTTTGCCTTTAATTCTCAGGAACATTCCAAGTGCTCAGCACGCCCTTCACAGAGAACATGCAGGAAAGGTCAGTGCAAATCTGGTGAAGAGGAAAAGAGGGGAAAATGTATTTTGAATGTCAAAATTCAGTAACAAATTTTATGATCACCTCTTCGATGGAGAGAGGCTTTTTCAAGTTCTCAGAGTGCTTTTTCCTGTGCGACCATGAAAGGATTAAAAGAGAAAAAAAACCAAAAACAAAACAAAACTGCATTTGGCAGTGGGGGTTGGAAGAGCCAATGTTTTTATTTCAATAAAGTCCTGATTAACAGCACATTATAATATAAAATGTTGGCTTTCTAAAATGGGCTTGAACTTTTACACAATCTGTTTTTAACCCTGGCATGCACACCGGCGTACATATATACTGATAGGAGTTCTGGTTCTAATTCTTAATTTCAAAAAATTTTGATAAAACTAAAATGTTAAATGTACATTCTAATGAAAACACTGCTGTAACACCAACCAGATGGCTTGTATTCCTTGGAAAATTCTTTAACGCATTTTGAATTAGAGCAATAACTTCGTTATTTAAAGAACTCCCTCTAATGGTCGATAAAGGCAGCACTTTGACCCAATGCCGTTTCCCTAATTTGCCTAATGGTAAGAAGCACTGAGGAGCTTATTAAGAGTACTGCTCTCCAGGGCCTACCCCAGTGTTTCTGAATCTAAATCTCTAGAGGTGAAAGTGGGAATCTGCCTGAACCCAAGCAATTCCTGTAATCAGGTAAATTTCAAACTCACCCTAGTGTATGAAAAATGGGTTTTGAAACTTGACATTTAAAAAGAGCATAGGCGGGTAGAAATAGTTCCTTTGATCAGCTTTTTTTAAAAAAGATTTTTAAAAAAAGATTTTAAAATCTTTTTTAAATATAAGACACCTTTCAAATCATAGTTTTATCTTCACTGAAAAAAGATGTATCATGTATAACCACAAAATGTAAGCACTGACCCTGTCTTGCCTAATTTGTATGTGAAAGGTGACCATTGATGCTCTTGTCTCAATGTCATCAGTCAGTAATTTTATGAAATACTCTCCTAAAACTGTAGAGATTTAAGAAGAGTTTAAGTCTTTATTGACCAAATGTCAAATTCGTTTCGTAGAAATCCCTGTATCTTAGAAATACAGGAACTTAAGTTATTCAGGGAGTCTTTTTGAAAAACCTGATTGACCTTTACCTATGATGAAAAGATGGATGAAAACTAATAGGTGGATTCATAAAACAACTGGTAGAAAAAGAGTGGCCCAGTGTCCCCACGGTTGTTAATGCCAGCTATGCTGCATCAAGGTCCCAGTGTGGGAACTTTTTTGTGTTACCATCTAGCCTCGCAATGCCTCGAAAGGTGGGCACCATTGCCGCCCTTTACAGATGGAAGCCTGAGTTTCAAAGGTGAAACGCACCCAGCACCACACACCTGAAAGCTGGGTCCAGTGCCTGTTTTCCAGCCTATGTGCCAGTGTGCACCCTAAATGACCTTATGCCATAAACTGCAGCCATAGTCACCTCTATCTTACTGCAGCCAAAAGAAAATGAGATGTTGGGAAGTAAAGCAAGGATCAATTACCTTTTTAAACATGTCCTATTTGAAGTTTTCCTATTGAACATAACACTATAGTATATGGCATCTCTGTGTATCACTAAAATGCATTTTCATTTAAAGCAATTATGAGAATCCTAATCCTCTTAAAATTTATTAGCTGAATCTGTATGTGCAAATTCTTTTCCAATAGGAATTTTCTAGTTCAAATAGAATCCTCAGGTTAATTTTTAAAACTCCACTGTATTTAACCAATTTTTTTTTTCATATTTGGTAGAATAAAACGTCCTAAAATCTAAGGAATTTTTCAAAGTCATTCTAAACTGAAATGTTTACAATTCCATTAAGGTTAGTTTTCAAGAGAATCAGCCATTTAACTGAGAAATTCTGGGAAAGTATCTGCATATTTGTGTGGTTTTATTTAAAAAACAAAATGAAAACATCCAAATTTAAACTGTCTGGAATGTAGGGGGAAAAACCAAGACACAGACTCAAAGTGATTATCCTTGATCCTTGATGTCTTTTCAATCCACTTCACCTGAGGGCAAAGAATTTATTGCCAGTAAAAAGCTTTGATAAGTTGAGAACTAATTGCATAATTAGCCACAGAGTTAGCAATATTTGGCCCAGAAAGGTATAGTATGACTTTAAGTTAACATTGCATTGTGTCTCATAATCCTCTACAATTTGAATTTTCAAGTTTTAAGAACCCAGTGGGATTTGAGGTGAATAAAACTTGATAATTCTTCCACAGTAATACCATCTGCTTAGCCTCCCTAAAAATATAGCTGATACAGATTTTACATCTAAATCTGTATGTTTTTATATTTTTATTACATACGCTTTCTCTTGTGACAATTGTTAGAGAATTAAATACATTGGGCCATCACTTTTATAAAATGATTATATCTTTGTAATCACTAGTTATATCAATTTATTTTTTAATGGGAGAAGTCAACATTTAAAGGGTCCAAAAGAAGCTAATAAAATTACTTGATTGTTTTTAGGAGACATTTACAAACTTAGCTCATTCCTTTAGTGAGAGAGAAAATATCACAGGGAAGTAGAAACAACCAGTGGCCTCCCCCTCCAAAACCCCCACAGATTATAGATAAAATTACTAAATTACTCTAAGAATTTGTCTTATTTTTAATGCATGGAAAATAGCAAAATTATCATGCCAACATGAGGAATATATACTATAATTCATAAATGCCTAATTATCAAAATAATGACATAGTCATGGTAAGATGCAACCTAGCAATCTTATATAAGATGCAACTACATATTGTATAATCATTCCTGTTATATATTACATTCAATCCTCATCAAATTAAGCTATGTATAGATGGCATTATGAAATAAACATTTAATATCATGATAGGGTCGTAGTCTGCTACTGTACAACCATGGCATGCAAGTAACTATGCATTAGCTGTAAACAGTAAGGTGTCATTACCTTTCAGAAATCCAAAGAATGTGAAAAGTACATATATAGTACTAAACATCAATTGTATTTAAATGACCTTCATATTTAACAAAGCTATATCATATACAGCAGCTTTGGAGATTTCTGTCACTGTTATACATATCTTGTCATCACCCTGAAGTTAGGAAAGTGCAATTCCAAACTACATCTGTTAATGCTACTGAGCTTTAGTGAACTGTGGTCAGTATTAGGATGTAAATGATTTTATGTTCTAATGTGAAGTCTATTTTATTTTTCCTTTCTGCCATAATTCAGAATTTTGAGTCATTAAGAGTATGCTGACTGTGGGCAACCATGATCATATTTTCTAAACCACAGATTTTTTCTCATGTCAGGGATGGGCTCATGTTAGGAAGAAGACTCTGTTGATGCTTGCCAGCCAGTGCTCTTCTCTACTTGTATTCTAAGTGGAACAGTTGGCAGGAAGGAACTCAGGTCATCTTGAGAGACGTTGCCTCTAAAATACATTTTGTAACATTTGTAAAAGGTAGTTAAAATCTAGCAGCTAGGAGAGGAAGGGCAAAGAAAGATCCATTCTTATAAAAACGCAGATGGATCATTTAGGTCTGATCCAATGATTCTTAGGCAACTAAAAATTATCATACTGGAGCAGAAGCTTGTATGCTGTAAAATAACCATTTCGGCTCTCTTCAGGTCGTGGCACTGGAGGCTGTTTTTGGAAGGAGGGGAACAACTGACTGCTGGACAGGCTTTTCCATGCTCTATCAGCTCTGATAATGAGTTAGGCAGTTGGCATGGATGACAGGAATGTCCTCTACACTGAGCATTCTAATAAACCTCCTGTGAAGTTGCACAGAATGAGTTGAACTCATTCTGATCTGCATTCCAGTGAGATGGAAAGCGGTCACATTCTCAGACTGAGTTTGGACATGATATGGTCATGTGAAATATTTAAATACATTACCTACATCCTACTACATCAAAATCTGGCCTTCACATTTACAACGAGATAAAAGAGCATTTAAAGCCATTGCAATGTATTCATTCCCTATTCATATACAGGTGATTCAAGTTGGCTTATGAGGCAAAAACTGTACAATTCTCATCATTCAGGCATTAAAAAATGTCTTTCTTTAAAGTCTTGGGATATAAACAGTTGATTTATATGAATTACATATTTTTCATCTTCATTAAGAAACAATATACATCTTTTTCCAGAGTAGTTTAATGTTAGCTATAATAAGCCTAAGATAGTGGTAAAAACGGACTTTATCGCCTGTGACCATCAATACTTTTATAAAACTCATGAACATTCTTTGGCCACCTGGGTCACTGCCCATTTGGAAGGAAACTGTACTCAGGCTCGGGATGATACAGAGATTTGCTTCCATAAAATCCGAGGCCATAGAACAGCTTTAACAGAAGCCCAGAGTAAAACAGTACAGAATATACAGGAGCGGTTTCCATTTCTCAGACACAAGTTCCTTGACGTGTTGAAAGGTGTTTTCGATTCCGGACTCCAGAAGTCTTATCTTTACTATCTGAAGCTTTCTGTTGTGAAATATCTATTAGGGCACTGGCAATTGCAAGGCCTGGAAGAAAAGAGAAAAGCATTTAAATGCTTGCTTAGACATTTCTGGGATGGCAACAGTGGTGGTGAAGGACCCCGTTTGTTAGTGCTTTTCATTTAGTCATCACACGTTTGGCTGTTACTGGAAGTTTTCAAGTAGTTTGCCCTTCACCTAAAATGTTTCTTGACTTGGGCATGTGAACTGCACGAAGGAAGAAGAACAAAGGTCTAAGAAAGTTAACTGACTCTGACTTGGAACAGTCAAATCAGTGTTTGACAAATTATCACATCTAGTTGTGCATAGGACCCTAAGCCTTCCTCTCTATGTCTGAACACAAGTTTGCTGTGGAGGTACTAGAAATTTTCAATGTTACTATTTTTTTTTTGGAACAAAACTAGTCATGTTAAGATTTTTAAAAATATTTCAAGCAGTTTTAGGTTTACAGAAAAATTGAACCAATATTGAGATAAAATTACCAACTAACGTCCATCACTTAAATTACGGTTTACTCTTTCTGTTGCATAGTTCTGTTGGTTTTGACAACTGCATAATGCAGGGTATCCACCATTAAAGTATCATACAAAATAGTTTCACTGCCCTAAAATACCCCCGGCACTTCACCAATTTATTCTTCTCTTTTCCCAAGTCTCTGGCAATCACTGATCTTTCTTTAATGTCTCTGTAGTTTAGCCTTTTCCAGAATGTTGTATGGTTGGAATCACACAGTACATAGCCTTTCAGATGGTCTCCTTTCACTTACAAATATGTATTTAACATAGCTCCATCTCTCTTTTTTTGGTTTGATAACTCATTTCCTTTTATTGCTGAATTATATTCCATTGTGCGGATGTGCCACAGTTTGTTTATGCACTCCCTACTGAAGGACATCTTGATTGTCCTTGCTTCCAATTTTTGGTAATTGTGAATAAAGCTGTTAAAAACATCTGTGTGCAGGTTTTTATGTGAACATAACATTTCAACTCATAAGTACCTAGGAGCCTGATTGCTGGATAATATGGTAAGCTTATGTTTTCGTTTAGTAAAAAAAACATTGCCAAACTGTATTTCACAGTGGCTGTGCCATTGTGTATTTCCACCAGCAGTGAATGAGTTTTTATTGCTTCACAACCTTACCAGCATTTGTTGTTGTCAGTGTTTTCGGGGTTAGCCGTTCTAATAGGTGTGTGGCAGTATCTTACAGCTGTTTAAATTTGCAGTTCCCTAATGACATATGATGCTGAGCAACTCTTGATATATTTCTTTGCCAAATGTATATCTTCTGTAGTGAGGTGCCTGTTCAGATCTTTTGCCTGTTTTTCATTGGGTTGTTTGTTTTCTTTCTGTTGAGTTTTAAGAGTTCTTTGAAGATTTTGGATAACAGTTCTTTACCAGATATGTGTTTTGTAAATATTTTCTCCCAGTCTATGGCTTGTCTTTTCATTCTCACAAACTGTTTTAAAAAGTATAAAAGCATTCCATGGATAGAGTTATGCTATGTACAAACGGACATGGAAGAAAGCTCACTTGACATGTAGCTGACACGTGTCTTAAGTATTAGAAACGGACCTTGAGTATTATTAACAGAAAGTGACCACAAAGGCAGAGCTGTAGCTATCACAGGTAATTTAAAAAGTATATTGTTTAATTATGTTGATCTGCTTTGTTACATTGTTTGTCCAATGATGGACAGGAACACTTGGTAAGATGCTCAGGGACAGTAAATTTATATTTAAATTTATGGAAGCAATGGCTCAACCACATAATTTGGCTTATCATAGCTACATATGAATCATTTTCATATATGTTGAGTCCCATGTAATTCTTGAGTAAAACCAAATGTATCAAATCACCATACTAAACCATGAGGCCAGACTGTTTGGCCTTGCTTAAGAAAAGGCCACAAAAGGACTTTTGGCTCATTTTCCTTTCTCCAAGATCTTCAAGACCTGATTTTGAATTGAGCTGACCTCTTCTCCACATGTTACTCTTAGAGGAAGATCATTTTCAGATCTTATCCTACATAGAATATCATTGAATTATTTTGTTCCTGTGGGTTGGTTAATTCTAGGTAAGAGTCGCATATTTCCTGGCAGGAACAGAATTCAGAGATTGATGGACAGAAAGAAATGCCAGTAAAGGGACGTGGGCACGGTAAGAGGAAAGCAAACTAGCCTAATGCAGTGTTGTGGGAGTCAAGGGAGGGCCAAGCCCAAGGAGTCTGTAAAAAGTGGCAAACAGGCCAGCAGGGTAAGGCCTATGGCAAAGGCCATTAGACTTCCTCAGAGAAGATTCTGGTGATCTTTGAGTCATTTCTGTATCTAACTGAGGATAGAAGCCTGAAAGTTAAGCAAGGAATGGAGTGACGGAAAGTGTGGCCAGCAGGCGTAAGTTCCATGTTTAAGATGCTCAGCAATGGGAAGAGATAAGTAAGCTTATCTACATAACGGAAGTAGCAGTGTCAGATGGAATACATGTGGATGCATGGGATTATGTAAGTGTATTATTTAAAGGAAAAGGGAGCCTTGGGTACATTTGAAAACAGAAGAGAAGAGATTTGTGGAGAAGGAGAAATTTATGGTGTTAGCAAGGAAAGAAATTACAAAATTACAATAAGCACTGGCTAACCTGATAAATTTACAGATTCACCTGGTAAGGGTTGCTCTTCGGTAATTTGCTCTTTCAGGATATTAAATATCATCCTGAATTTTTTAGAGTTACTACAAGTTCAAAGTTTAAATAAAAACTGTTTTCTTGACCTTTGAAGAGCACATGGGAACTTCTGAAGAGTCTAACATAGATGTTTTAAACACTTATTCTGCGGTAGTTAATAATTATTTCATTATTTGTTTAATTAACGGAGCCGAAGGACCTTGTTGTTATTTTTAAAATCACAGATTGTGGTGGTGCTAACTAAGAGTTCAAGCTGACCATAAGTTTCCGCTGATCTTCTGGCATACTTCTGTCATTATTTACAACTTCCTGCTATTTTATTCCTGGCACCAACTAATCCAGAGACAGCCAAGCATGACAAATAATATATGTCTCCTTTAATGTGGACAGAGACTACTTACACTAATTTCAATGATCACAACATCCAAGTATGAAATCATGTTATTCATTAAACTACTGCATGATGTAGTCCAAATAAGCTCTGAAAAAATAATACTTTCCGTTTACATGTGAATGCAAATGTTTTCGTTACAGAAGATATATCATCAGGAGAGGAGTAAACAGTTTGAGTTGCCAAAACAGGAAATTCTATGCTAATTCAAAACTGCCACTGTATCGCTGTATTTCATGAAGTCCAGAACCTAATTGAAGCAGCGTCTCTCACAACATGTCCTGGGTTTACTAATGATTCTGAAACTTGGAAACACATTCAGTTGAAAATCGTAAATCATATTTCAGTTCTTAATTTACAAATAAAATTGCAAATCATACTTATTTTTAATTTGACAGCTTTTTGTCATTTCTTATGAAAATGTAACAACTGCATTTTCAGATCCGTGTAAATGGCAATGTGTATGTAGAAAGATTTGCACTTCTCTAGGCAGAGATACTTAAGTGTTCACCATGGTGCACTCACAGAGAACACTCAGGACCACTTGCCCAAAGTCTTGTCTGCCCATTTGATGGGCCAAACGACGTTTCATTTGGCTTAGGTCCTTTACTGGACCCCACTGCTTGTGGCCCATCATGAGTTATTCTTCTTTATAAATCTTGTAATTTAATTATGAATAGGATAATAATCATAATAACTGCATTTATATGTGTGTATGCCTTAAATATCAAGTTATTACCACTTTCACATTTCTTCATGTTAAATATAAGGTGAACCTTAAAAACAAAATCAGAAGTTGCTATGTTCTTGTTCAACCTACAAGAGAAGCTAGATACAAGAATGAAAAAAAAGAGACAAAGCCCCATCTTATTGAATTCGATAGTGTGTATGGAAGACTCACTAAAAAGAGAGAGAGAGAGAGAAAGAAAGTAATCTCTGTCATTGCCTTTCAGCACACTTTGTTATTGTAGGGAATCTAATTTTCTTAATTGATAAAAAGAAAAGTCAAGTCAATAGCTTTTTTACAAAGACAGTATTACCTCCCCCATCCCCTAAATGTAGCGGTTATATTCTGGTAAGAGACCGAACATATAGATAATGCCCAGACCATGTATAAATAGAATTCTGACCCACAACTTGCAGCAACCTGCTCAGGAAACCAAGCTATGATCTGCAATAACCAGCCCAGGAAGCCAGCTTGCTATGTCGACTTGTAAGAAGTCAGACTGCTATCTCTAGTAATAACTCACGAAGTTAGACTGTAATCCCTGTCATGAATGGCTCCAAATGGCCAGGACTTGATTAATAAATAACAGCTTCCCTAATTTGTGTCCTCACTTCCAGCCAGAGGAAGCCAAATATGTACCCCTAACCACGTAGGATGCCCCACTTCTAGTTAGCCTGTCTACAGCTCCCACAAGCCAACAGCCTCTAATCACGACACACCTGAAGCTTCCCTTTTTTCACGATAAAGCTTTCCCACTCCTGCCTGTCTTTGAGTCTCCACCAAAACACAAGTGAAAGTGGTTGACTCTCTTGCTATAGCAAGCTCAGAATACACAGCTTTTGCTTATTTTCATTTGCTTGGTTTTGGTTTATTTTCACACTGGCAGTGAAGGGGTCGTCTGCGATCTTTTCTGGGTTTTAAAAAAGATATGTATCAATAAAAGAAAAGCAACCTATCAATAGGTTCTTTGTGTTGCCATTTTCGGCACACACTTTCTCTTGTCTTTCCTGAGAATTTTTCCCAGTGAGAGGTCCTCTGGGGATGATCCCGCACTCCTTGTGCCATAGGAGGAAGTGCTTCCTCCTAGTCGGATGCTGGGCAGCGGCCCATGCTGCATGCCGCTAGAGTTCCATTAAAATCAGGTCACTCCAGAAGATCATTTTTCAAAACGTCACACAAATCATCTGATGAAATTCACTTACTGTGTTCTCTAGGCCTAGCACAGTTCCGTGT